ACTACGATACACCGAAAGGATCGCTGAATAAACGAATGACGAAAGCTATCGAACGCACTAAATCTTTCAATGATTTCATATTCAGAGAAGATGGCGAAAATCTTGAGGTAAGCTAATCTTACTCTTAATCTTCATTTTGTGTTTAACTATCGATAAACTTAGGGTGCTGTACTAATCTCTCTGGGTGGAGGATTCAGCGATTACCATCGTAGAAAATGCGCTGTCGATGTTGGGCTTAGTAGGAAGTGTAGTGGTTACTCCGTAAGTTGTCATGTATCTACTGATTTTACTCTGTACTAAAAATGCTTCGATTCAGGTGGATTTGCGTGATTTTGTACATGGAAAGGAAGTAGACAAAGAAGAGTTGAAGAAGCTAGTTGAAGAAACATTTGTAAGGGGACTTTCAATTCGTTAGACCTTTTTTCAGCACTAAATTTCAGGGCCCACTTCCACCTGCAAAACTTCGTTTTGTAGCAGGTGTTTTTGATCCAGCCATGGTTTTGTACTTGACCAAATTAGGTTTCGACCTTTTTGATTCATCTTATGCAGTTAAAATGGCCGAGGAGGTTTGTAACGCTTTTGAATGTTTTCTACCCTTCATATACTTCCCCATATATCTGAAATGCGCTCTTTGTCAGTCAAAAGGTTAACAGAAAATGCTTATCCCTTTGCTTCACTATCTTTTCAATGAATGTCTACATCTCACATGATGGTGAGTAATCTTTTTACTGCAGGTGAATGTTTTCATGCTCGCATTGAATGTTTTCATGCTCGCATTGCCGCAAGAACATCAAATTTATAGTCAAATCTCTATCTCGTTCATGCTGTTCTAGTTTTGACATTCTCCTTGTTTGTCCTAGACTTGTTCAATACTAGGTTGTTCCAGGCGAAAGCTCTTCGGTTAGCCGACGACTTCCCACACTCGTCACGTTTTGAGCTCCTGGACTTCAATGATGACAAGTCAGTTTCCATCTCCTTTTTGAAATCATAATTCATCTAACATTTTCCAGGTATGCGGATGATTACGACAAGTTGTTTGATTCGTGCGATTGTTACACGTGCAAAAACTACACTAGAATGTACTTACGGCATTTGACAAATACTAAAGAGCTACTAGGGCCTATACTGCTGGTGATGTAAGTCCTTGACTTCCATGGTTTGCAGGTATACGATAATCTTTATGTGTTTTAGTCACAACATGGCTGAGTACCAGCGAATGTTTTCATTGATAAGGAAGGCTATTGATGAGGGAGATGCATTGTGATAGTAACAGAAACTGGTTTATTGAATCTTGTTATTGTTCAGCATTCGTTAGCATTGGGCCTTCCGGTAATGA